GATGGATGGAGGGGTGTGTATGGCGATGGATGTGGGGAGATGGATGGGTGGATGGATGGATGTGGGTGGATGGATACAGGGGTGTGTATGGGAATGGATGGAGGAATGTGTATGGATATGGGTGGATGGATGGAGAGGTGTGTATGGGGGTGGATGTGGGTGGATAGAGGGGTATATATGGGGATGGATGTGGGGGGATGGATGGAGGGGTGTGTATGGGGATGGCTGTGGGGGATGGACGGAGGGGTGTGTATGGGGATGGGTGGATGGATGAATGGAGGGGTGTGTATGGGGATGGATGTGGGGGGATGGATGGAGGGATGGACAGTGACTCCATTTGTCACACGTTACTGTGCGTATGAGTGAGCGCTAGCTCCTGCGCTCTCACCCCCGAGCCCAGTGCATTACCAGGGCAGTCACCCCAGACTGTTCCCGCTGTATGTGAGAGCCAGCTGGGGCCCCGTGACCACCCAGCACCATTAAGGACAGAGCCTCCTTACCAGCCACTGCAGCCTGAACGTGCAGGAGGAGGACGGCTGAGAGCAGGGCAGTGCTGGAGTGTGGGCGACGGGCTCCCAGCATCTGGCAGGGCAGCTCTTCCTGGCCTCAGGGCTGGACAGGAGCCAATGGACTACAGGGAAACCAAGGAGACAAGGGATGAGAAGGGGAATAGCTGCTCACCCGAAGACCCTCTGCTTGTGTCAGTGGGAACCAGGAGGGCGGTTCATCCCACAAGGGAAAGCTGCTGCACGGGGAGCCCATACAAACACTGGGCGTGTGTCCCTTTGGGCTCTGCTCCATGGAATAGGATAATAGCCTGCTATTGCCACCACCTGGAGGAGCTACTCCTTCAGCTCCAGCAATTGAGGCTCCTGCTACGAGCGATGAAAGCCTGGAGGTCAAACCCTGCAGTCCACTTACATGCCGGGGGATGCTGGACACCTTGCTGGGCAGGCAGCACGTCTGGGACTATAGGCTGCACGTTTCAAAGGAGCAGAAAGGAATCAGTGGCCTGAGCGGAAGAGTGGGTGGGAAGTTTGTGGGGATGGGCGCCTTTTTCACAGAAAAGAGCAGTTTAATCATAACTGAAATATTTTGCAGGAACATGTCCACTTTTGACAACATTTTACAGGGGAAAAGTCAAAGGGACTCATTTCAGTTCAATAAGGGCAAAATACTGCCTTGGAAATGTGTCCTTACAATTAATTTTACTGTGACTTTTATCCCATTAAAGTTTGAAATAAAATATATATTATTTAATATTCCATATAATGCACCGTATTTAATAATGTATATCATATACAGATTAATGAATACAATATATATTATAAAATAATAATTATATAGGCTTGGGAGAATTCCATTTTTTTTTATAATTTCGATGGATGAAATCAAAGTTCCTTTTAAGCATTTTTTTTCCAGTTTTTATCGATTTAACTTTCCACAGTTGCGCCAGATCATGGGTTTAAACATTTTTCCCCATTTTTATTTATTTGAATTTTCACAGCGGTGGGAAATTATTGGGGACAGGGTCAGATAACTATTTAATGACAGTAGGCGCTGAGATATAACAAGTGAACACTTTATAACTGGTAAAACACAAACTGTTCACATCACACGGCAAAACATACAAAGTAAGCATGTTTAAATAACTCTAAGAAGTTCCCAAGCAGCAGTATTCTTATTTTGCCTATCTGCAAATTTCCAGTATCATCGAGGGAAATATTTTTTTATCAGTTTGGTAAAATCGATGTTTACTGACATTTAGAGATACAAATCAAATTCTTCTGAGCCTATTTAGCATTTAATATAATAATAAATGTAATATGCACTATATATTAGTCAATATAATATAATATAGACCATAGTATACATATCATAATAAACATAACAATATTATATAATAGTCAATTTAATATACAATAGGACACGCTAAACAAAATGAATTGAAACAATACGGTTGAAATGAACCAGTTTACCTCCCCAACTGCAGGCATTTGTATAGAAAAGAAATTATGAGTGAAACAAAGATCGAGATTTTGCAGAATTTTCATTTCATGGGAATTTTGGGGGCGGGGGAGAAACAGGGGGAGTCACGCCAATTTAGATCAGAAACATTATTCAGCCTGTCAGAATTCCCCACGGAAGGGAAATTCTGGTTCCCGCCCAGCCCCACTGCATGGCCCGTTGGCAAAGTCAAAGTGCCCAGATTTCAGGAAAGGCCTCAGCAAGGCCGGATGCTAGACAATCCTTTGTGCTGGAGTGGCTGCAGAGTTTTGACGGCGCATGGGGCCCAGGGGCCATGGATGGAATAAATCTACTGTGCAGAGCGGTGTTTGAGGCCATGATTCTCAACCCTTGCATGGGCAGAGCATGGTATCAATGCAGGCTGAGGATCTGTGGGATGGACAGACAGACACAGGGGTGAATATAGGTTGCACAGACAGGCAGAGGGTGCATGGGATGCACAGAGAGACACAAGTGTGTTTCGGCTGCACAGACAGACAGAGGAGTGTATGGGATGCATAGACAGCAGGGTGTTTGGGATGAACACACAGAAAGGAGTGTATGGGATGCACAGATAGGCAGAGGGTGTATGGGATGCACAGAAGGAAAGACAGAGGGGTACAAGGGATGCACAGACAGACAGAAAGAAGGTGTAAGGGATGCACAGACAGACAGAGCATTGCATGTGGTGCACAGACAGACATGGGGGTGTTTGGGATGCACAGACAAACACAGGGGTGTAAGGGATGAACATACAGAGGGGTGTTTGGGATGCAAAGACACACACAGGGTGTATGGGATGTAGAGACAGGAAGAGGATGTATAGGATGCACAGACAGACAGAGGGGTGTAAGGGATGTGCAGACAGACAGAAGGGAGCATGGGATGCACAGACGGACAGAGGGTGTATTGGATGCACAGACACAGAGAGAGAGTGTGTATGGGATGCACAGACATACAGAGGGGTGTATGGGATGCACAGATGAAAAAACAGAGGGGTACATGGGATGCACAAACAGAACTGTGGATGTGATGTACAGATGGACAGAGTGGTGGTTGTGCTGCACAGACAGACAGAGGGCATGTATGGGATGCACAGACAGACACAGATGGTGTGTATGGCATACACAGAAAGACAGAGGGGTGTTCAGGATGCATTGACAAACAGAGGGTGTATGGGATGCACACACAGGCAGAGGGGTGTTTGGGATGTAAAGACAGACAGAGGTGTGTTTGGAATGTAAAGACAAACGGAGGGTGTATGGGATGCACAGACAGTCAGAAGGAGTATGGGATGCACAGCCAGACAGAGGGTGTTTGGTATGCACAGACAGAGGGGTGTATGGGATGCTCAGACAGAGGGGTGTATTCGATGCACAGACAGGGACAGGTTGTAGGGATTTAAAGACGGACAGAGGGTGTATGGGATGCACAGACAGACAGAGCGGTATATGGGATACACAGAGAGCGGTTTATGGGATGCACAGACAGAGGGGTGTTTGGGATGCACAGAAAGAAAGAGTGGTGCATGGGATGAACAGACAGACAGCGGGGTGCATGGGATGTACAGACAGACAGTGGGTGTCTGGGATGAACAGACGGACAGAGGGGTATATGAGATACACAGACGGACAGAGGGGTGTATAGGATGCACAGTCAGAGGGGTATTTGGGATGCACAGACAGAAAGATGGGTTTGGGATGTAAAGACAGACAGAGGGGTGTATGGGATGCACAGACAGGCAGAGGGTATATGGGATTTACAGAGGGATAGAGGGTTGGATGCGATATACCTACAGACAGAGGGTTGTATGGGATGCATAGACAGAGGGGTGTATTCGATGCAAAGACAGGGACAGGGTGCATGCACAGACAGAGGATGTCTGGGATTCACAGACAGACAGAGGGGTGTATGGGATGAACAGACAGACAGAGAGTGTTTGGGATGCACAGATAGAAGGGAGTATGGGATGCACAGACAGACAGAGGGGTGTATGGGATGCACAGACACACAGATGGGTGTATGGGATGCACATTGAGAGAGAGGTGTATGGGATGCACAGACAGAGAGGTGTTTGGGATGCGCAGAGAGAAGGGAGTATGGGATGCACAGACAGACAGAGGGTGTATGGGATGCACAGACACACAGAGGGTGTATAGGATGTAGAGACGGACAGATGGGTATATGGGATGCACAGACAGACAGAGGGGTGTACGGGATGCACAGAGAGGCATAGGGTATACAGGATGGTTAGATAAATGTCTATCAGGGATGGTCTAGACAGTATTTGGTCCTGCCATGCGGGCAGGGGACTGGACTCGAGGACCTCTCGAGGTCCCTTCCAGTCCTAGAATCTATGAATCTATGAATCTATGTAAAGATGGACAGAGGGCTGTATGTGATTCACAGACAGAGGGGAGTATGGGATGCACAGAGAGAGCGGTGCATGGCATGTACAGAAAGAAAGGGGGTGTATGGGATGCATAGACAGACAGAGGGGTGTTTGGATGCACAGATAGAGGGGTGTTTGGGATGCACAGACAGAAAGAGGGTTGTATGGGATGAACAGATGGACAGAGGTGTGTATGGGATGCATAGGTAGAGGGGAGTATGGGATGCAAAGACAGAGAGTTTATGGGATGCACAGATGGACTGAGGGGAGCATGGGATGCAGAGACAGGTAGAGGGTGTATAGGCTGCACAGAGAGGCAGAGGTTGTATGTGATGCACAGACAGGCAGAGGGTGTATGTGATGTACCGATGGACTGAGGTATGTATGGAATGCACAGAGAGGCAGAGAGTGTATGGGAAGCACAGACGGACAGAGGGGTGTATGGGATGTACAGAGAGATGGGTGTATGGGATGCACAGACAGAGGATGTATGGGATGCACAGACAGACAGAGGGGTGGATGGGATGTGCAGATGGACAGATGTGTGTATGGGATGGATGGACAGATAGAGGGGTGGATGGGATGCACAGAGGGGTTTATCGGATGCACAGACTGAGGGTATATTGTGTGCACAGACAGTATCAGGAGTGATCCCGGAGTCCCTCTTGGTACCTGCAGTCCCTGGCAGCGCAGTGGAGCTGATCCCCTAGTGCGTGGGAAGGTGCGCCCAGTCCCTCACTGCCACTCCTGGCCAGGCCTAGCTCTGGGGCGATTCTTGTCTCCAGCCACTCCGAGGGCCCAGACCCCCGTTCAGCCAGTTGTCCTCCGTCCCTGCGAGCTGGGTGGAGGATTTCCCGCCATATGCACTTGCTGAACCTGTCCTGAAAGCGGGCTCCTGCCCCAGCAAACGCCCCCAGGGGTGCAACCCAACTGGGCGTGGCAGTCCTGCCCTCCTCTCTCGCTCCCCCCAGTTTAAATGAGGAGTAACCCACGGAGTCCCTGGGGATGGTTCTCCTCTCGCTCACCCTGGTGTAAAACAGGAGTAACCCCACTGAAGTCCCTGGGGCGGGTTCCCCCTCAGTCACCTCGCATAGATCAGGAGTAACCCCACTGCAGTCCCTGGGGCGGGTTCCCCTCTGGTTACAAATGTAACTTTCGCTTTCGCTTTCCTTATCCTCTGCTGCCCCCGTGTGGCTATTTCCCAGCATTGTGAGTCTCTGCCACAGACTGCCTGGTTCACCTTGGGCAAGGTCCCTCAATGCTCTGTGCCGACAGTGCTCGCTCCCTGCCCCACAGGGGGTGTGGTGGGTGAACACGCCCTTTGGTGGGAGGTGTTCAGATACTACAGTGAAAGAAGCAAATAAGCACTGAGAGCTCCATCCATGACTAAAACCCAGGAGCTGTGACACCGCCTCTGCCCTTATGGGACCCCATGCCCCTCCCGGAGTCAGGAATAGAACCCAGGAGCCCTGACTCCCAGTCTTGTGCCCCCACATGGAGAGGAACAAGCTGCCCTCAAGTGAAGTGCTGCATTTTGCTCAGCTAGGTTTGCTAAAGCCATGACAAATATCAGTGCGTGTATTAAAGAAATCCGTAAAGTCCCAATCAAGATCGGGGCCCCGTCGTATCGGGCACAGCACAGACACACGGTGACTGAGATCAGGGCCCCGTCACGCCGGGTGCTGCACAGACACACAGTGACTGAGAGCAGGGCCCCGTCGTGCCGGTTGCTGCACAGACATACAGTGGCCGAGATTAGGACTCCATCGTGCCGGGCACCAGGGCCGGCT